TAAAGTCCCAAGCATTTGATAGATGGAGAAGAGAACTTGGATTTAGCATAGTACAATCCTAAAAGCCGTGCCAACCAAAAAAAAAAAAAAAAAAAAAAAAAAAAGAAAGAAAAGAAGAAAAAAAAAAAACCCCAGAAATTTTAAGGTACACATAATAGACAAAATTTAAAATGCATAAATTATATAAATCTTTATTTCATTTTCAAATTTCTTCTCTATTGTAAAATAATCCAAATAAAAATATTTATATATTTGAATACTCTGGTTATTGCTTTACCTAAGCTATCGAAACAGCTTATTCTAAAGTCCTCAAGCACGTGATTGATCGAGAAGAGAACGTGGAATTAGCATGGTACAATCCAAAGAGCCGCAGCAACCCAAAAAAACCCAAACATTTAACCTACACATAATAGACCAATAGCAGATATTATGGATTCATGCAAATGAGATGCAAATGAGACAACAAACAATGTATCGATCTGATACTGCCTCTCTTGTATGATTCTTAAAACAAAAGAATTTTTCATTACGGAGTCAACAGCTATTTAGCTAAAGCTGATGTTACACTGGACGATTCGCAACGAACTAAACAACGTACCGTCTAAACCGGCCTTTATAAAGAAGGGTTGGAACCATCGAGACAGCCCTAGCGTCGGGCCAACCTGTTTACATTCGCATATTTTCCCCTCACCTCTAAGGTCTCGAGTTCGAGTCCTGGATTCGGCTTGGCATGTTAGTAGAGTTTGATTTCTTTTTAGTTTACTTCCTTCACAAGACCCAACACACTAAATTCCATTTTTACTGTGACTTTAGCCGAACTCTGAATTGATATTTGATCAGCCCAGAGTTTACCGGTTCAATAAAAAGTAGTGATAAAATTTTATTCCAAGCGAAGAGGAGTGAATACAAGAGAATAGAAGGGAAAGGAAAGGAAAACGAGATAAAACGAAGAAGAGATTTATTTWTTTCTTTTTTGGTGCTCTCTTGGGTCCTTATCTGTAAACGCAGAATAGGAAAAAGCGACACTTCAAACAGACTTCTGATATGCATTTATGTATTATATTTTAGATCTGTAAATCTATCACCGATGGTATCAATGAAAGAGGAAGAAAGCTACCTCAAATGTACCAAGGTAAATTAAGGAAATAAGGTGACGTATATGAGTGGGCAAAATATGACAGAGATCTACCGGCCGGGCGATTGATGGTATTTTTCATTCGAGGCTCAGTGTCATTCTTTTGATAATAGGGATCTTCACCATCCATATCAATATGTCTTCTCACATATTGCTGGCGAGTAAAGAACTAATGTTGGGAAGATAGGACTTAAATGTACTAGTGTATATTGTGTTGTAATTGCAAATATTATGGATGCATGCAAATGATACAACATGCATTGTATCCACCAGATAGCCTCACTTGTATGATTCTTAAACAAAAGAATATCTCATTGCAGGCTCAACTGTAATAACAGCTATTCTCTTGAGAAGATATGAATTCAAGCGGCAAAAGACAAAACAAAACAAAAACAAAACAAACAAACAAACAAACAAACAACAAAAACAAAACGAAAAACACAAAAAAAACCCCAGACATACAGACAGACACTTCCGTATCAACACGTGAATTATAGTAGACATTAACATCATCAAAATACACTTTTATTGCATATAATGAAATACATTTTTTATTTTAGACAAGTTCCCTGTTACAAAAGTAGCTTCAGCCGAGATTCATTTCCCGATACTAGAAAGCCCTAGTATCCAAAGAGGTTTCGTGGATTTTGTCATAGAGGTTAGAGGCGGCATTTTCAACTTTTGCAGTTCTAGAATTTACCTTGACAGAAACGAATGGGAAACTAGTTGCTAGTTCGCTTGAAGAATAGGCAAAAATTTAGGGTGCACAGGAATAATTGGTTTCCACTTCAGATGAACATTGCATGTCACAAATTGCACCGTTTAACCATAGTTAATAGCTTCTTAACTATGGTTTAACATAGCTCGCAACATTAATTGCCTGCGCAGCATTGTGGGTAATGTTGCACTGTCTGTCTATATTTTTTACACTTTCAGAATATTTTAAAGTTTTTACTGTTTTTCTCTTGCACATGTTAGGGAGGTGTCTATTCGAGTCTGTATACCCTGACCAGTGCAACCAGCGGTCAAGGAATCAACCATCTCAGTTATTACCCAAATCCATACAAGATGCTTAGCATTGTACTCTCCGATCGCATGTTCAATTCACTAGCTGAACTATACTACAAGGCAGGAGTCGTGCGCATCGATGAGATACAGGTAAAGTTATTACTATCAATGTGTTTCAAGATATTTGTTTCAAAAGGACGGAATGGAATAGATATGTGTTCAAAAACGTCTGGATAAATAAATTTTTAGAATAGACCTTTGCAGGAACACATGGATATTCTACACAAAATCGAGGCTAGCCCTGAGCGAGAGATAAATCTATATTGGAGTATTCACTGTTTAGGAATCGATGAACATTAGATTTTTAGCATTTCTTCGTATGTTTGCTTTTTTTCTTCTCTAAGAGATTCGCAGACATTTTTCACGGCAACGACGGCGCACGTTCGCTCTTATTTTGTCACATTTCCATCGTCATCTTTATCTTAAAGAATAAGAAAATGCTGTGTGCAGTTATAAAGCACGCAAGGATTGAGATTTATCAGAGACAGAACCAGACATTTGCATAGGAATGTGATGGAAATTTAAAAAGTGACGATATAGTGACGTCATTAATAATAATGATCTGACTTAAGGTGGCTGGACCCCCTCACGCTTGACCGCTACCTTCCACTTTTGGAACGCTAGTGCATAAACGTCTTTTATCCGATTGCAAATCTTTTTTGCACATAAGTCACATAAAGATTGAAAGCGGCCAAGCGAGATGAGACCGTGCATGGTGCGAAAGAATTTGGTGTTATGATCATTAGTAAACAATAGAATTCCCAGAGCATCAAATCATTGGGAAACGATCAATGTTTTCTGTATTTGTCGTTCGCTTTAGATCGCTTTAAATGAGTTCAATAGTCTTGCAATTTTGTTCAATATTAGTTTAAGTTCTAATTTGTATCCTGACGTAGTTTAGAGAGAAATGATCAGCGAATTTTAGAATAATGGAAGATCTAGTAAGATTGACTAGAAAACTGCAATGAAAAGTGCGCATCAAATGTTTACCCCGTCTTCTGCACTATACGTTTTCACAAAATCGCATAAGTCGATTACCTTCAAAATGTTCCTTTTCAAACTAGATACAGAGTAAAACTAAATGAGCAATAACTTTTGTGAATACATAGCTCTGAAATATTAATTTCGGCCGTATGAAATCCATTGTTTAGTTTTGAAGTAGATTATGCACTATATTTAAATAATCTCAAATATCTCATAATTAGCTAGATAGATTTTTTCAAAAATCCCTACAAATGAAGGCATCTAGTATATAATTATGTGGTACGAAGCATTTTAGTGTTGAACGCTCTGCAAGGCTAAAATTATTTTCTAAACGAAAACAAATATTTCATCATAATCACGTGTTATGACGTCCGATCTCATAAAAAATTGCATCAAACATTAATTCAATCTTTATGTGACTTATGTGCAAAAAATATTTGCAATAGGATAAAAGACGTTTATGCACTAGCGTTCCAAAAGTGGAAGGTAGCGGTCAAGCGTGAGGGGATCCAGCCATCTTAATACTCCAACTGTTTGTATCGGATTTATAATTTTGAACCATATTTTATAGAAGCCGTTGATATTTGGACACGCGTATTTAAATATTGGTGTTAACGCGAGCCAAGCGTACTTACTTACTGCCCATAATAGCTGTTTTCGTATAACTGGTATACGGTAGTGTCACGGCAAGGGACAAGCCAGACCAATAACATTGCTCGAGAATTTACTCTCCATCCAATCAAATACCCGGAGCACGGCATAAACAAGGCGCGGATACGGTCACGCCAAGGTCACGGCACTGTGGACCAATCACATTGCGCGAGCAATCAAGCATCAAGGTCACGGCACGGCATGCACTGCGCTTTCACAGTGATGAGAAACTGCTCTATGCCTAGCTGAAATGTAGACCAGCACAGCAGAAAAGGATGAATACACGCGATTTGATTTAATTTGTTTTTTCATATTTATTTTTAGATTTAATCTTATGCAATTTAATTTGAGTCAGACTAAAAATTTGAGAAAAAGAAATAAATAAAAAGTAAACGTACCATGAAAAAAAAAACAAAACAAAAAACAAAAACCAAAGAGATCATATGTACTCCTCAGGCGGGCTGAGAATTGCCCAGTACACCCCAGGACACTCCTTGGATCCGCCCTTTTTAATATGTATAACAAATTTATTACATGAAAGGTTGTAAAATACGGCTTTGTATAGTCTTACTCTTCCTTTTGTATTGAAATAATAAATGATAAATAATAATAATAATAATAATAATAATAACTAAAATTTGTATAGCGTCATATCTAAAACCTTATGGCCATTTACGATACTCCAGCTTCGAGTTCTCTTTGCTCAGCCTTAGTCTCGGTTGTGTATTATGATATTCAGCTATTCAATCAAAACCCGTGGCTTTTTCATCAATTTGTTTTATTCCGTAGTTCGTACATTCCTTACTATACAATGAACCTTAATAAAAGAAAAGGACACATTTGTACACAATCGAGGCTAAGCTAGACTGAGCAAAGGCGAACTCAAAATGGGAGTATTACAAATAAAATATAAAAAAATATAATGAAATATGATATGCAACTACCTAATATTAAATAAGTGGGTAATAATGTTTGTAATAGACCTTTCCCCAATTCGCTTGACTGGAAACGAAACAATAGTTGCAAGTCAAGGTTGGTCTTGAAGAATAAAATAATGAAAAATCAGTCTCGACTTACTTCAAACCTTCGTTTCGTCCAAATCCAAATAAATTCGGGAAAGATCTATTTGACAAGCGTAAGTGGCCCGTAATAAACCCAAGCCCTATCTGTAACTCCTCTTTTTCTTAGATCAATGACGTTAATCCCTCCCTGAAGGTCAACATTGACTTGGTACGCCCGCCGTTCACCAATACCAATGCCAGTGGTTCCTTTTTCACGCTTTACCTAAACGGGACGGTTAAAGATAACTCATCAAACTACGAAGTGGGTTTGGTAAGTTTGTTCACACACCTGTCAGAGCTAATGTGAAAGTATGTTCGTTGGCATGTGATATTCAAAGGACTCCGGTAACCATGTGGATTTGAATCACATGATCTCTCGCTATAAATAGAAATCCTTAAATTCTATGGATTAGCTAGCGCTATTTTAAATGGCTGTCATTCTTACTGCGCATGTTCGACGAAATGCTAAACACTCTGGGAAACCCTTTAGTGTGGTAGCCAGAAAAGTTTTTACCACAAATATTTATTTTAGAGCCTGGGTAAATAGGAGAACATACCAATAAATTGCGTCTGCAAATCACGAATCGATCTCGCACGGAGCCAGCGCGCTCGCTTGATACCGTTGTTCTTTCAAATTTCCCCTTAGTGCTAGTTTGTAATAAAAATGTTAATTTTCTGCGGTAAAAATGAACTCCCTCCAGTTTTCCGTGGCATGTCCTCTTTTTTAACATGTTTTCATCATCCATCCGGCAAAACATGTCTACAGCATTTTCACTGCTGGATGACGAAAATCGTGGTAACTAAGGAGACATACCACATACCGACTGTTTTACAGCTGCACTGCCATTTTATCGACTTTCAAGGCAATTGATATCCTTCATTACGAGGCCTTTTGTGATTACTAGTGATGATTTTCAATAAAGAGAATTATTCTAACCAAAGACAGCCCGTGAAATTTTAGGGTTCATCAGAAAAAATCTGTTAACATTTGGTCAGCTACGATTTCAAGCTCACGCCCCCTCATGTGAGCCCATACAAATTATGTCTCAAAAACACGGTTTTTGAATCTTTTCTCAAAATAATGACTATCTAGGCAAAAAACAGAAGTGGATTCAGTTAATTCAACTATTCACGGACTGTATTATATGGTTTAGATTGAATTCTATTGAAAAAAACCACCGTACGTTTTGAGTTGAATGTACGCTATTGGACGTATTTTACAAGAGAAAATGCATGACATAACCGGGACAAGCTAGAAAATCGTCTCTCATTGATATGAAACAGAACCTGTCGAAAAAACAGAAGTGGATTTGAAAACCCCGGACTTTCCTGAACATTTTGGTATATAATTCATAGGAATTTGTTAAAATTTAGAAGCGTGCTTTTGCTGATTTTATAAGCTCATACTATCTGTTGGCCTATACATTCGCCTCTTATGGTTTCTTAGGTTTCGTAGCCTCGAAAACACACTAACTACTAGTTAACGAAAGAACGGAAGATTTACGGGTCATTTAGGATGTTTTGTCACGCAGTTTACTTGTGCTATATAACTTTACTTTTAAGAACTACCTTTTGCTTTGGAAAGAGAGGGAAAAGACCGAAAAGAGCAAATATTCCAAATGTATGGGCAATTTTTTCCAATGCCCAGAGTCTCTTGCATTYCGTCGATCTTGCGCAGTAAGAATAACGGTGCTTTGGGGTCTATCATGTGATATGTTAAATCACGATGATCTCGTGGAAAAATTACAACTTTGAAATTCTGTGCATTCTTATAGCTTGTAACAGGCGACTTTAGAATCCAAGAAGAAGACAGAGTCCTGTCGGGTAAAGTTAGCAACCTAAGGTTTGTGTGGATTGAGTTTGTTTTGTTTTATAGTTGGTTGTGCTTGGAATGGTAGGAGCATGCGTGCGACCTTCAGAGCGAGAGGTCCATAGTTCGATCCTCTGGAACTCCACGTCTGTTTCGACTTCTCTCTGTTCTGTGTAGCTTTAATTAGCTTTAAACACTCGTAAAAAGGAGCACTGATAGTAAGAGGGGGTAGAGGGCGCACCTTCGATCGCATTAAACATGACCCCTTGGCTCGGGAGAATTGGGAAACCACTACCCTTTTTTTAATCGAAGTAAAATAAATTGACACTAGCAACTAGTTTTTTTCCTATTTGTTTCATGTCTCTTTCCCACCAGGTTTAATCTTACAGATTGTGCAGAAAACGCGCCAAAGGTAAACTAATCCACATTTGATTGTAAAAGGCAACGTCAAGGTCCTGAATGGGGACCCCATCCGATTTTATTGATTCATATTGGAGTGTGGGTGACATCGAATGTTTACCAAACCACCCTCAAAGACCTGTTGAAATGCTTCATACTTGATAGACTCTTCCACAGTCTCTCGCTCGTCCGTTCCGTCTCCACGCTTAGAGACTGTAACGGTACAATGACCGAAAGGACTTATGGGTCCCGAAAAGTTGGACCCAGCGTGCGTTGGGAACCAAAATACTTGTCCACAGTCTCTCTCGTTTCAATATTTTCAAGATGGCGGCGAAAACGAGAGAGACTGTGGACGAGTATTTTGGTTCCTAAAGCACACTGGGTCCAAGTTTTTGGGACCCATAAGTCCTTTCGGTCATTGTACCGTTACAGTCTCTAAGCGTGGAGACGGAACGGACGAGCGAGAGACTGTGGAAGAGTCTATCATACTTGACTATTCGAGGTCAAAATCCATATTTCACTTGCAGAGGTGGTGGGTACCGGGTTTCCCCATGCAATTAGTCACTTCTAATTTGGGTTTCATGAGATAAAAATTGCTATGACGTTATCCCTAACACAAGGACCATAGAGCACCCTACCATCCAACTCATCATAGTTTATTTTCTATTCAGGATTTGAGGGACATTATTGTACCTTCTTTATTCTCGTCCAGGGATGATCTTGCCGAAATTGTCAGCAACAGTAAGTTACCCGCATTTACAATCTCTTTTATTAAAAATTCTAACCAATAATCCCGCCGACGGTCAAGGAGTAACGTTCAAATAACCATGATCTCTTTTTCTCAGGTTTCATGAATGACATGGCGCCTCTTCCACTCATTCCAACAGTCAAGATAGTGAACAAGCGTGTTTTGTACGAGCAGGTAAGTGCTTTTGCAAGGTCCTCTAAAGCTGTTAAACTAGCTTGCATGTAAATATCGCGAGTAAAAAACGTCTGCGCATGCTCTAAGGCCGTGTAAACGTTAGTCCAAACCTCTTCATGTTACTACAAAAATATGTTCATTTGACTTTCAAACAGGCCTGACCAACGGTCTTTACAAAATGCCAATTTTAGAGTCAGTTCAAGAAACTTAGGGTTCATTATACCACGTTGTCTTCATCAAAACAGAATTTTGGTCTTACAAAAGTATACTCGTGAAATTTGTAGTAAAGCTATTTCAAAAAAGGTTGAATAAGGAATACTGAATACTGCATAATGAATAGTGCGTTCCAAGAGCGAAGTGCATTGTGGGTCATAGCGACATTGTCTAAAGTAGGATTAAAGTTTATTATTTATTCTATTTTTAGTGAATTCCATCTGAAACAATATACTAACTACATGCAGAGAGTTAATTGCTGTATGTTTACTTTTTATTTCAAATTAGCGAGACCCACAATGCCCTTTGGTCTTGTAATGCACTAATCAGTATGCAGTATTCAACCTTTTTTGAGATAGCTGTACACTCCGAGAAAACAAACATTTATTTCCTCTTTTAAACTCTTCTAAAATCTTAGAAAACGTGCTGAAAGGCATGCATGCCCAAACGTTTTTCTCTAGTGTCTATTTAAAGTACTCTACTTTTCGGTCGAGACAATCTAAAATATTATGCAATGATAATTTTAATTTTAAAAGTTGTCATTAGTTTATTTCTTGCTAAATAAATGATGTTTTTGGTTGTGTGTTTTAGGGATACACTGTGTTCGAGTGTGACCTTGTGGAGAAGAAATAAAACCATTGCAGAAGGCCTGGACTATCTATCTCTGATAGGCCTGTCGTCGCTGACGTCATTGCTTACAGTTTTTCTTATTAGCATAAATCGAACTTCGAGTAACAAACAAACATAATTCACGAAGAAAGAGAATATTCACCTTAATTATTAACAATTTTTTCTAGAGTTTATCTAAATTTTGCAAAGTTGATAAATGGTTAATACATTGATCATCAGTATATTTACGCAAGTGAATATAATAAATTGCGCTTATTGATTACAATTTATGTCTTATGTTGCTATAGCTATATTTACCTACAGGTGAATATAGCGTGCGCTTGTTTGTCGATTCGTGCCTCTTGCAGATATAAATAGAATTTGAAAAAAAAGTGCATTGGAATTTGTGCATTGAAGGTTGTCTTCCAAGAGAATTGTAAAATACCTCCTCGTGCTATGTGGCGAAACTTTATTTGATTTTCATGAAAAAGCCTTGAAAATATAAAATAAATAATGCTCAATCTCATACCCATTGATCAATGAGTTATTCCTTATTTAAATAATACTCAAAGGAAGAGCACTCGTTCTGAAGTGGAAAAGAAGATGACGTCTGTTCATATTAATTTGTTAGTTTTTTTTTGTTGAATATAATATGAAAAGTGTCGATACTTTTGCACCTTGTCTGCTTCATCCGACTGGTCGATCTTGCCTACCTAGTAAAACTTCTCCACCTGCTCTGTCTGTTCTATTTGGTCTGGTCTAACTTCTGCTGTGTGTCTGTCCGTTCTACGGCGCTGTTCCTACCTGCCCACCTTGTATAGCTCCTGCACTTGGTATGTCTGTTCTACCTGGTCCATCCTGTCCATCCTGTCCACCTTGTCTAACTTCTACTCTTGGTCTGTCCGTTCTAACTTGTCCATCATC